GCAGGAGTGTGGTACCATAAGAAAGTCACAGACATGTGATTTGAGTCCATCTTTCAACCAAAGAAAGTACTTTGATGTAATTTGGTGTCCAAGGTGGGGAAAAAAAATATTCTAAAATCAGAAAACCTTTGAAAAGGCAGATCAATATGTTACTATGTATTGCACATAATATTAACATAAATATATTTAAGCTCAAGTTTACATTTACAAGCTACACTGATACACAGGCCCAAAACATTACAGTAGCAGTAACCATTGCAACATGTTTTTGCATCACAGACCTTAGAATCGGCATGATCAAATATGATGCCAGCCAGGTTCAAACATGCGTTTAAAGAGACTCTCTCTGGGGAAAATCAATTTAATTTGCACAATATCATATTTGTCGCAGGCTGTGTTGTGTACATTTATCTCTACCTGGAAATGGGGACATTGCTTTCAAGGCAAGGCAGAAATAACGTGTGATTTATCGACATTATACTACTAGCTTTGATTATATAGCTAAACTTCTGGTTAATGCACCAAGGTCCCAGAAGTTCACTTCCCCCTAATTTAGTAAACTTCACAATGGAGTTTTTTTCATGATTCTTATTTATTTATTTGTTTGTTTTCTTTGTACTTCAGTATTGAGCAAATATACAAACAGGGAAAAAGGAAATAGGTGACACACGTTGCGTGCCAGAGTATTTAGCTTTGCAGGCAACACTTTTCTTGCAGCTTGTAAACATGAAATTGACTAACGAATATGTGTCAGTAAAATGTGTGAAACCGATTAGAAATGACATATAAATCCAGAATTCATATTTGGCTAAGGCTGGTGTCACTTTGTCGTATAAAGCATTGCAGACAAATCAGTAAAACTACCATTCTGTTTCTCTTCAGTATATGACTGACATCTTATGATTGCTGCTGTCAAGTCATGGCTTTCATGCACTTGTCGCACTGTGAAGACTGTGATCGAGTCTCTATTCCAGCTGTGTTTCCACAATACTCAGTTTCAAACTTTCATCTCTCTGCTCGCGTTCCTCCGCCTCTTCTCGTCTTCCTCTCCTTTCCATTTCGTCCTGTTTATCACCTTTTCCCCTGTCCACTCTTTGCTCTCCATTTACACCCTCTGCCTGGTCTTTAAGATGCACTCCACCACTTTGTTCTTTCCCATTTCTCACCCATGTCTTGTTTTTGCATCCTGGTTGAGTTCTTAGAGTTCTCAGATTGTCACTAGCCTTGTTAAAGTAGTTCTCCAGCTCTGCCACAGGTCCCTTGTCAGAGAACAAATGGTCTAGGTATGCCTGGGCGTACTGATCTGAGGTGATTAGGTCCAGGTTAATGGAGCAGGACACAGTTGCAGAGGTGGTATAAGGCCCAGAGACTCTCCTTCTTCTCCCTGTTAAGAAGATCAGCCTCAGTTAAATGCAACTTGACTGAGAAAGGCATGAGCAGTTTTCTTGGTTACTTCAAGAAAGTCTACCTGTCTCTGCCTCCATGGTAGTTAGAGGGATGGTCACACTCTTTCCTGTTTCTCTGTCTGTCACTGTGAGTCCCGTCATGGATCCCTCCTCTGACACCTCACTGGAGGGGTCGCATGAAGCCTGAAGACCCCCGCGACATTTAACCACACACACTGTATTAGACTTATAACGCCTATAGTGAAGAGATTGGGGTAGAATTGGGGGAAAGAACAGAACATTTCAATCAAGTAATTATTTTAATCCTTTTTTTAAATGGAATGAAAATAGATATTCTAAAGTATTTTATAAATGCATAATCATTAACTTACTTACTAGTGATTACATGTTGCAAGCTTAATGGGTGAGGGGCTGTCTAGGGGTTTGGTTTTCATGTTTTGTTTCCCCATTTTACTCACATATGCCACGATAGCAACTACTGCCTGTCAGACTGAATATTTTTACTGTAAGCAGCAAGTCTAAATGTACGCTGAAAGTCTAGGGCTAGACTTTTCTGACAGTCTGATGAGCTTTTTTGTGTTTTTGCTGTCAGATTTGGAGCAGGTTGGAGAGCTTGTCTCGTAGTAGACAGCAGGGCCCTGTGTAGCTGTGGTTTCCCCTGTCAGTGTGCTTTATTAGGCTCCTGCATCCACTGAAGTGCTGTGTGTCTGTGTGTTGTGGCTGACAACATGCTCTCAAAAAATCTTTAGTGTTTGTAGTTGGACTCTATGCTATGTAGTATACTTCATGCATACATAGTCCACCTACAGACTCCAGCTCGACAAAATAGATCATCAATAAAATGTACGGCACTGTGAATGACTCATGCAGCTTTATTCTATCTGACCAAACAGATTAATCATCACAACTAAAGACAAAACAAAACAAAGAGCTAACTCTTCCACCCTTTCTCACTAAAATGTTGCACTTTTAGACAGCGACATCCCAGCTACAATGTCCAAGTGGGTCCCACATGAGACAGTGTTGAGCTGACATTTGGCCAAAAAGGGTAAAAAAAAACATAACATTTTTATTTAAAAATTTGTCAAACTAATCATGTCAACCCCACATGGGGGTTACAGATACCAATTTGTAGCCCACTTTGGTCCCATTACTGACCCAAATACACGTGTCATACAGAGCCATTACCCTACAAACCCCTGCACCACAAAAACATGTTGGCTGGGAAGCTATTGCTGCCAAAGTTATGAGAAAATAATAAATATTACCTGTAAGCAGGTATGATCTGTGCCAGGTCTTCCTTGTATTGCTCCAGTGCTGCCCTTGCAGCCAGGGGCTCAGCCTTACCCTCAAGAGCAGCCAGGTGAACCAACATCTGGGTGTTAAATGCTGCCCCGCTCGCCCAGTGCCTTAGAGACCTGGAGAACCAGACAGTGTAGAACAAAACAAACTCCTCATGATCTCTGCTGTTTAACCACTACACTGTGTTCTACTGCATACGACTGCATAGCGCTCTTCTCTCCTCCATGCAACTATTCTGCGTTCTGCTCTGCTCCATGCTTCCACCTGCCCATATGCTGCATGACACCATCCTTTTCTCCACTCTGCTCAACTCTACTGTATTTTCTCACCTGGAGTCACAGCCTCCCCCCAGCAGACAGGTCTTTAGCTGGGTGAGGGTGAGACTGAGCTGGGCCTCAAGTCTGACAGAGTCCTGGATCAGCTTGTTTTTGTCGTTCAGGTTGATCCTACAGCGCTTCAGATACTCCTCCATCACCTCCTGAAGCTCCCAGACTCTCTGCTGGAGGTATACATTCATCCATGGGAATTGTAGTATAGTAACTTCATACCTTTTTCATTCATTAGAAGGCTCATGAGTTAGGTGAAATGTATCAGTAAAGTGTACAGGGTATTCTATTTTAATATTTTAATTAAAATGATTAATTTATATATATATCTTTACCTGGCATGATGATGACCCCGCTGACTTCCCTTTCGCACCTGATGACTGCTTTGAGGATGTGTAGGCCATATCCATCACCATAGTAACCACTAATCCCACCAGCCCAGCCAGGCGGGGCTCATCTGAGAAGGTTGACAACCGGCCAATCAGATCCCTCAGGTATGTGGGTGCCTTGTTCCCAATGTCGGCCTGCAGCTGGGTGAGAAGAAATGAAGGGAAAGGTTCATTGCGTGTTTACACGGTGACTGCGATCCTTTCGTTTTAAGAACAACTGTGAAGAGCAGTTTGTCATCATCATATGGCTGCTTGTTGGCCACTGTATTGATTACAATCCCCACCAGGACCCCATTTCTAATACTGAGTGGTGCTTCATTTTGCAAAATCGCTCTTTCTTAACTGTCTCAAGGCAACATCATCTTTCTTTTCCCTCCTGGTCATCTCCGTCTCCACTTCACAGCTGAATGGATTTAAAGGTGAAATCGATGAGCAGTTTACCCAGTCTGTCTATGTGAGAAGGAGCAGATCACCTATGTTCTACAGTCAGTCCATACAGCGGCAGCATCATCCCTCACATATACGGTCACACTTTCTTTTAAATTTCAGTAACCTGTTGCAGTTGTTCCTGGAGGCCGGCGCGGGAGTCGAAGCTCTCGCCGTGATTGGCCAGGAGGAGTGGGTGGACGACTCCGAGGTCAGGTACGGCGCCGCCTTCCAACATGGCATCGTAGAGGAGAGAACCAATCGCATCCCTCACTTGAGGAAGCTCTTCTTCTGATGAGAGCAGCTGGCCCATGATGAGATTTGTATGTGTGTAGTGACCAGTAAATATCCCTAATTCATGCAGATCTGAGGAAGAACAGAAAAGAGGGAAAATACTAAACTGCAGGTAATACAGCACAGAGACAAACCCTCAGCATTGAATAACTAGTGCCAATAGTGAACATACTCAGATAACATAACAGTGTAATTACAGTCTATGAAACTGCTTATTTTCATCTTCATATGATTCTAAACATCATATAATATACTATGACCTTAGAGGTTTTAACACAAGAATGTCTGTAGAGTCTACACAATAAAAATATATATATATTTAACTCATAATATCAGTAGGACGTAACATTTCCTGCAAAAAAGCACCTTACATTTCACATTAACATTTCAGCAGCATTTCAGTCACATCTAGTTTTACTGTTTTGGCCAGCCAGCCTCTTTGTTTTTCACTTCGCTGCTTCCTTCCTCCTCATGCTGCAGTGAAGAGATTAACCAAGAGAACACAGCAGCAGAATGTAGCTCAGCCATAAACCTACACCTCCCCCTAGCTGCAGTGACCAGGAAAGGCAATTACTGTGAAACTGTGAGTCTGTCATGTCATCGAGGCCAAGGATGCCAGCCTGTTAGGGTTTTGTCTGAGTAACCTCCACATGAGAAGGTTTTTTGTCGCCTGTCTGCTTCTGGTGCACAGAGAATTAAAACCTTTGAGAATATTTTTTTCACACTCTTTCATACAGTGCTATCTTTAAGTGAATGCATGATAGTGAAATTAAACTAATCCTCCTTGTGTCTGGGGGACTCCCTGGAAGAAGCCAGAGGTCCTTGGGAATGAAAGTAATAGCTACACACTCTCAATGGCTGTGTTAAACATTGAAAATATAGGCCAAGGGCTTTCAGCTTTTTTTTTTAGCTAAGTGGAACAGTGGCCTTGGTGGTGTGATGTTGACTTTTTTTTACTTAATAAAATATGGGGCAAGGGGATTTGGGATTTTATATAGTGTGAGAGATGTTCTTTGTTAACTGGGACAAGGGCTTGTGCACTGTCAGGCCTCAGAGTTTTGTGTGTAGCTAAATGAAATGCCCCACACTGGGTTTCAGACTGTAACTCAGGTTAATGTGGATGTCATGTCTTATAATCATTCAGATTAAACTTGCCTGACCTTACTCCTTATGTTGTAACCTGTTTTTCACAATCTGTATTTCTGTTACCAAAAAGATTTTCAACAATTATTTTATTTTCTTTGTAACTAGTGTGTTCAGTTATTTGATATATTGATATCATCCTGCAAAGGCACTATATGCACTATGTAGTGCAAGGACGTAAAAGTTTAAAAACTTACATACCGGTATGTCTCTGTCATGATCTTAAGTAGTAACATTTGAAAATACTCAATAAAGAATTGGAAAATTCAACTATAACTCTTGAAAGGTGCTCTAATCAATGTTTTATATAGACATTGAATCAAATTACTATGTGTCATGTAAAAGGGGTAGCTCATCGTAACAAACCCACAGAGAATTATCACATGACTTTTCAGTTCTCCCAAAACCTATTGCATTTTAGCATCTTTCAGCTCATTGTTTTGGTTCACTCTCACTGTTCTCATCAACCTCATTTCCAGGTGCAGCAGGCAGCTGTTTTTGGTTAAAAAAAAAAATCTCATAAACCCACACTACTACAGACAGCCATTTGAACTAGCTATTAATCAAAGTGAAGCATTTAGTTAAGTTATCCTTTATTGATCCCTGTAGGGAAATGTGTTCTCTAACTTAACCTCCAAGTGTTCGGAGCAGTGGGCAGCCACTGTGCTGCATCCAGGGACCAACTCCAGCCAGCGCTTTGGTCAAGGGCACTGAGTTAACATACATGTTTTGCATCTATTTTGCAGACGGGGGAAACTGGAGCCCTTGGAAAAAACTTTGCAAACATGGGAAGGACATGGAAACTCCACACAACTCAAATCCACAAACTTCTTATTGTGAGGTGGCAGTGCCTCAAGAGCTGGTGGAGGACAAACCAGACAAAGGAGAGCGAATATTGGACTTTCATCTATTCGTGCACCAGAAACACAACTCCAAATGAATGCTAATGTTGCTCTGTAACTGCTGGATGCGTAAATAAGCAACTGTTTGCTAATATTAGCCTTGCTAACTTCATAAGGTTATAGCAATATTGTGTTTACAACTTGAAGCACTGCCCCCAAGTGGCCAGCAAATTAATAAGTGATAATCAGATTCAACAACACCAGTTTTACAACAACAACAACTATGTAAGCTAAAATGAGCTAAATGATACATATATTTCAATGCACACTGGTGCCAGAGCATTTATTCCTGATCACTAATCCAACAAGTCCTACTAGAATTGTAAGAGTAGCAGCACATAAGCAGATAACCTTGCCTGAAACCAGCTGCACCACAAATAAGAAAATAAGCCTTATTCATAAGAGATATTGTGTCATATCACAGTAAAAAACACACCGGTGTGAATCATAAAATGATTGATGGCTAAATTCCATTTAGCTGCTTCAATTTTATTTTGCTGACTCACCCTGGCAGTACTGCATGTGTAGTAATGTGTAGACTAAAGTAAGTAAACTAGAGTAGCTAAATGAGGATATTCAGCCAGTAAACACACTGTATACACTTGTAAACCATTGCCAAGCATAAGTAGACTGTGTGGACAGTCACTGGACCAGACCAAACACCTGTGCTCTTCCTGCTAAGACAAGACAAGTCGAAATGAGCTAATAAGACATTATACACTGAGGAAAAAACAACACTGCTTGCGTGAGATCGAGGTAACTTAGCGTGCTGACTTTTCTGCGGCAAGTGTACCAAGGCGTCACAGTAAATGATATGTTGATGTTTAAAAAATTGAAGACAGTGAATCTACGAGTTAAACACTGCAGGCAGGAAACAAACCACACATGGACTAACACACACACTTTCCCTCATTTCCTTCTCCTTCTCCTCTCCATACATCCCACCCTCCCTGCTTTTCTCCGGTTATTGTTGATTTTGATAGCTTCTGTCAGTCTGATGCTGTGTTTACTGGCTGAGCTCTACCCCTAGGACTCTCTCTCTCTCTCTCTCTCTCTCTCTCTCTCTCTGTCGCTCTCTCTCCATGGATGCTTGGCCCTGTTGACACACTTCACACTGCTCTGAGAGCAGTAACTATTTAAATGTGCTCACGTCACACACATACACACACATCAGCAAGCGGAAATGGGCATGGGTGCACACATATGTGGTTATGTGGCAAGAATTCAGTGCTCTCTCCTTCTCTCTTTCTCTCTGTCTCTTTTTAAAGGTCTCATTTCCATCTGAGAGTGAAGTTAAGATGAAAGGAAAGAAAGTAAAAAAGGAGGACAGGAAAGATATGATGAGAGAAGAAGAAAAGGAAGTCAGATGAAAGGAACTAAAATACAAAGTAAAGGTGATGTTGATGGCTCAACCTCCCTTAAATGCACACACACGCACACACATATAGTTTGGCATTTTAAATGACAGCCCTCTTAAAACCTCACTGAATATTAATCATCACACACAGAATATGTAATTTTACTTGATAATGCCACTTGGAACTTAAGTTTAATTTTCTATTACAAAACAGATGATTCAGGGAGTGGACGTATGACATTTACATTTGTGTGAGTGTGGGTTTTAGTGTCTGTGTGTACGTGTAGAACTAGAATGTGTGTGTCCGTATGTCCATGTCACAAATCCTTTAATCCACTGACAAAAGACCCTATACTGTCATGTTTGGACTCAATGGGCGACTGTACCAAACATGGTTATGTACTATGTAATTTTTTTTTAATTATGTGAGCAAACGTCTTTCTTTGCCATTAACAATCACAAGTTAGACGGTGTTAACACATTAACGTTGTTAAGCTCCACTTTCATATTATTTCCGAAGCTTTCAGTCACATCTCTTGGCCTTCCTCGACAGATGGGGTTGCCCAAATGTCATGGAGATGGTTATGTTTATTATAACACGATAACAAATAACTTGGTCTCACCCCACCCATCTGTTTTCATACATTTTGCAGGAGACATTTATTATATAAAAAGGAGAGAAAGGAAATATGGGGAGACACTAGGCCACTGGGATGCTCCCTCCCTGACTCATGTAAAAAACATTTCTGGCTATAGGCTAGAGCTGCTGTGAATCAGCCCAAAAATGTGTGTAATAACTTAAGCACCACTTCATTTTCAGTTTCTTCCCCAAAACAGGAACAATTTGTTCTTTCATTCTACAAATGGATTTTTGTCAAGTTAAGGTCAAATGTGTGCTGGTGGGTCTGCTTGTGTGTGCAGAATTTTCCATCTGCACTTTTATCCCGCATTGTTTGCAATTTTTCCATCTCTTCTTCTTCTTCTTGCATTATTGTCCCTTTCAGAACTCACCAGGCTTGAGCTTACAATAACAAAGTCAAGGCTACAATAATTAGTCCAACATGACTGATGAACAAGCCACTATTTATCCTTTTCCCTCTTTTTCCTTTCCTCTATTCTGTTCCTCCTTCCCCATCATCATTTCTCCTCTTCTCTTCTCTCTTCCTCCATCCTCCATTTTCCGTCTGCGTTATCCCCCTCCCTCTGATCATTTAAGGGGTGTGGAGGAGAATATAAACAAATTTAATGTACAGTAATACATCAAGCCATGGCTGGTGTGTCAGGCAGCATCCATTTTGTGGAGCTGTTGTGTTCACTTAGCAGCAGTGGGGCTAATTATTGCAAATGGCAGCTGTTGAAAGGAGTATTAATGTCTCCTTTCTACGTGGATACTTCCAATATTATAGGCTGATGAAAGTAGTCACAGGCTAAACTTGAAAGAAAATTAGAGTGACGAAGAAAAGGGGGGACCAGAATCGTATCTTTCGGGGGAAAAGCCCCATAAATCCAACTTTAACCATTTTAATTAAGGCTGTCACTGACTAAAGGTACTGTAATCATCATCCATCTTGCAGCGCACAGTAAAGTTTATATCTGTAGCATTTGTAACTACAGTATGTGACGCACAATGTGTCCCACATTTTTAACAGTAGAGGAAGCTGGATGCAAACAGAAAGATTGGTATGAAACCTATTTGATATTGCAAAGAAGAAGAACAAATCACTTTGGGTGTTTTTCTAGATAAAGACATCATGTGCTAAATAAATAAATGATAGAAGGCATTTGTCATATAAATGTAATGTAGCAAAAAAGTTAACTTCCGATCCACTGTCAAAGTGAGGATTGGAATGACAGTCTCTGAAATATTGCCCACACTAGTTGAGTGAAAAAACAAAAATGAATAAAAACTGAAAACACTTCTTGAGCCTCTCTTTCTAGCCATGTTAGTAGGTTTGGCTTCAAAGGATGGAAATGTCAGTCTGTCTGCTGGTCCACTGTTCCAGACTGAAATATCTCAACAACCACTGACCATTTGATGAATTACTTAAGTGTTATTTTCATTTCCCCTCTCTGATTACTTCCCTCTTCCCCTTGGTAATGTGCAATCTGTGAATTAGAGTTATTGTCTGATGAGGTTTTGTAGACATTCATTGGACTGACTTTGGTGATCCTGTGACTTTTCCTCTTGTGCCAATATAGTTTTCAGTCATTTTGTAAAATATCAATATCAAATCAACTTCCACAAGATGGACTGGCACACAGTTTTGTACACACAAACCTGGATGGTAAATCCTAATGCCTTTGTTGACTTTTTTATCTTGCGCCACCAGGAGGTTGACATTTATGGTTTTTACAGTGAAATATGTTATAGATATGATAGATTTGATGGCTTGCCATTAAACTAATATGATGACCACTATACTTGGTAACATTAGCATGTTAGAATTAGCTCCTTGTTCACAGAGTCATCTGTTTGACATATTCTCATTTATGGTGGATTTAAAGCTTAAATAGATTTTAGAGGGATACATGGTAATCAGTTGTCAAATGTCAATTAATCATTTGGAAATAAATGTTTGCCCCCAAATCTTCCTATAAATTTGATTGGTTTTTGTTTTGTTGTTTTGTTGTAACAAATTTTAAAAAAATGTAGAGAAATGACACTTATTGATTTAGTGGGAACCCAATCCCATGCAAACCTCATTGGTGCAATATTACATCAATCTAAAATAATACTTATGTCCACTGTTATATTATACATAACATACATTATGATATATTTACTCATCATAATTTTTCACATTGTTACGAGCATGCTCTACACTGTGGCAGGTCGCAGCAGCCAGTCAGCGTTTGAGGGGTTTATGGCCCAAGGCAACAAGCAGAGCGCTGTTCATCAAATAAAGTAAGGGGATTAAATATGTTTGGGGTCATTAAAATGTCAGAGAGAGAAAGAGGGAGATTAAAAAGTGCTAGAGAGAACGTGACAGGGCAGGAGGAGAAACAGAGATAAGACAGGGATTTAGAGAGTGAAGTGTTGAAACACAGATAGAAGGAAGATCTCTCTCTGGATTGAGTAGATAGAGAGAAAAGTGAGAATTGTGTGAAAACACAAACAAACAAACTTCTGCTGCAGGGTTTATTTAGAAGTCTCCTCTTTCAGCTTTGGAGAAACACCTGTTCAGAGCTGCCTCCAGGTATCACACTGCAGCAGAGGTGAATGTGTATTGTGTCCAAAACTATGTGTATTAAATGTGTGTACATGTGCGTGCATTTAGAGTTTGTTGTTGTCTTGTCTGAATACCTAATGAGTGCATGGAGTCATTTGGGTGTATGTGCCTGTGCGTGTGCGCGCATAAGTGTGTGTGTTTGTGTGATAAGAGCTCCACTCACTTCACTCCATGTAATAAAATCACAAAATGAAGGCTTGTTGTCATGGCTTCTGTATCACATTAACATGTCATTATTACAAGAAAAAATGTATATGAAGACGTCTGAGCACCGTTGGTACATTATTACATTCGTATTGTGATAAATGTTGCAATTAAAGATCGTTTTTGTTCATAAAACCACGTTCCCAGTTTGTTCAATTAGTGTCTTTTTCAGCTGTGTAAGAGAGACCCCTGCTGGCCAAGACTAGTCACTGCAGCCGGGTGACGAAGTTCCGATTCCGGTGTAAACAAGAAACAAATATGGCGACTTTCATAGTCAAACAGAAGTTATGGCAAACTTCTGCCGGCAGATAGGAGCTTTTGTTGACAGGAAACACAATATTACAGCATAATGACTGAACCGAGAAGTGAGGCGGCTTTAGTTCGCTACTACTGCACCGTCGGTAACGGGATGGATCACTTCTTAAGGGACGAGGTGACGAGGAAGCTGGCAGCTGAAGCTGTGAGTGTTAAATGTACTCTTACTCCTAACACTATATGATAGTCAGTTAATGAAGCTGAGTCAAGTTTATTGCCAAGGAAGTTTTCACACACGAGGAATTTGCCTCAGTGTCTCAAACGTTTATGTCGATTCTTACATTGTCTTGTGAGTATTGTGTGTAGTCAGTGGTTGATGGCCTTAGCAATAGCCCCACTCATTAAATACACTGGGATGTGTAATGTGAAATGTCCCCTCTGCTCCTTTCTTTGAAGAATCACTTTCATAACAGTGTATTATTCTGAATGGAAGGAAGGAAACCCTGATGTATCAACCAATATGCCTGATTTATTATTGTCAAATATTGATATCAGTGTCCACCTCAACAGTCCATCAGTGTTTTAATTAAGGATCCTCCAACGAGATACTTGCAGACAAGTCTGTTGTCTAAGCTACATTAAATATATGGGATTGAATCATTGCCCTTTTAGCCGCAGAGTAAAGTTTTTAAGCACTGACCTGCTCTTTTTGTTGTTGTGTGTGTCCAGGTGTGTCAGATGCAAGGTAAAGTGTTGTTCAGCTCCTCTGCGGGGATCGACAGAGTCAGCGAGCTGAAGGCTGCGGAGAGACTGTTCCTCCTGTTGAAAAAAGACGTGCCCGTGCTGCTCTCTGCCCACACCAGCCCAGGTACCAGCCCGACACATCAAATACACAAATACACGGAAGACAAAAACATGAGGAATACCTTGGCAGACGTTAAATTGTATGCCTGACTTTCAGTTCTTGTGTGCCTTAAAAGTGTATTTATTCATTTAATTCCTCAGCTCTTCCCCTTCATGGGAAATTCAGATGCTCAAATCCCCTTGGTTGACCTGCCTTACTCAATACAGTTGAATTTATGTGATTTTAATGAGATGAACCTTCCACGTCACC